CTTTCATATATTTAATGGCGAATTATTTTTGCAATTTTGGAATAACCCCTATATTTTACTATACTCATTTAGGCTCTTATTTACGGTACTATGGGCTTAGAAACCTTTTTATAACTCATTATCATTGCAACAGCAAATAGCAACCAGTTATAAATAACACCTTGAACTTATTATTACTATTAGTGTAATTATTATTATAAATATTTAAAATGACAGGCTTTAGAATATTTACAATAAGCCACAAAGCTGAATACGGCTTCCAAAAGGGGAGGGGAGGAACATATATTTAGGCTTTAGGATAGTTATAAGTAGTTCATATGTTTACATCTGTCTTACCAAAATCTCTGGGTTTATGTTGTCGTGTTAAGAGCTGGACACCACATCAGGTATGTCAGCAGATTGTCATTTAGAGGCATGCTGGCTGAGCGTATACTCCTGTTCTGTGAATGCACTTCGCCAGACAAACCATGTCCGGTGCGTAGTCTAAGCTCAGCAATGGCTTCGATTTTTGGCCAGTCGGTTATGTCGGCGAGTGCCACTCTCCACTGTTGCCCCTTTGTTAGGGCTTTGAGTTCGTTGCATAGCTCAATATTGGATGTATTTCAGCAAAATATTGGCTTGTTTGTGTTCCGTTTTGGTTTGTTGTTGCAATATTCATCGAGAGGATTTTAAAAACTGAATGTGGGCCCATAAGAAAGATTCTAATCTTATTCCATTTCAATTAACTCAAAGCGAATTTTCTTCATCACGTACCCATTTGAAACCATCCGAATGGCGTTTTAGAAAGATATTGCTTCTGCCATTTTCGTTTCTGATTGTCATTTCTCCTCAATGGAGCTGTTGGCGCCATACTAATCAAAAACCTTTACAGCTCATCTTGCTTCATACACTTCAATTTAATGATTTTCACTATTATGCGACTGTTCGTGAAACGCCCAATCAATAATAGTGGAAAAACGCATTCCACATACATTGCATATGAATGATTCATCTCGAGTATGGGAACGCATGTGTCTACTCAAGGAGGTATGCTGCGTAAACCTCATTCTGCATACTTTGCATTCATATGGTCTTTCACCTCTATGCACACGCACGTGTCTATTCATAGCGGATTTATCTGCAAATCTTGCATTACATTCACCACAGATGTATGGTTTTTCTCCCGTATGAGTTCGCGAATGTAGAGTCAAATAATATTTACGTTTGAAAGCTTGTTTGCATTTTCCACATTCAAAGGGCTTTTCATCACTATGAATAATCATATGTTGAGTTAAAACGAATTGACGTTTAAATTGTTTTCCACATTTTCTGCATTTGTACGGTTTTTTATCACTGTGAACCAGTGTGTGTTTATTCAGTTCAGATTTTGTGAAAAATTGATTTCCACAAGTTTCACATTCGAATGGTTTTTGGCCACTATGTCTGCGTTTGTGAACGTCCAAATAACATTGATATCTAAAGGACATTTTGCATACATCACAGGTGAGTAGTTTATTTTCATTTGAGGCTTCCTTTCTCATTTCTTCGGTGTTCTCTACAACTTCATTTAAAAGACCTCGTTTATTTGGAAGGTTAGTGCCCATATTGGAATTGGACCTGTTCAAAGGAGCTAAAATTATGACGAAGAAGTGGATAACCGGTGCATTCAACATCTTATTTATAGTTTGTATCTGTTTAATTACACTAGTATATGTGTAAGATGGAACATGCAAATCAAAGGAATGTCTTGTTTTACGGATTGGCATCAGATGTCTCTCAAATGCCAAATTTTACTTTTAAACTCCCGATGATCAAACCTTCATCACTATTGAAGCGAAATAACATCATCCAAGATGTACGTATGACAATGAGATAGAAACCAAGATCTGGCTTAGCAAGCTCTCCAAAATACCGTTAATGTGGACGACTTTTATTGAATACATTTCAGAACTATTATAACCTACTGCAATTATTTCCAGGTGATGCAAATATTACACCCCATATACATTTCAGAACTATTATATGCGAAACGAAGTACAACAACCATTTCAAATATGGCACTTTACAACTCAAAGCACTATTATTAAAATTTTGTCAAAGTTTATGTTTAGCTTTTATCTCATTGGAATCAGGCGTTTGGCTAGAAAATTAGCATGAATAATAGTCAAATCCTTTCTGACTGCCGTTTAAAATCGGACATGAATAGCCAAGTATATGTGTTTGACTATACCAAGCCAACAATTTACCCATACTTGGAATGTTCAACAATATTCAGACCTGCAACTACATTTTTGAACTAAACGTTTTCAAAAATTCGATAAGTAATTAATATTAACTATGGAAGTTTAGAAACGGAACTGATTGCAGGGGTTTCATCAAATTTTCATTTTAATCAAGTGTTGGAAACGAAAGGTTATTAAACTAGCTTACCTAATGAAGTTGTCGAATTCGTATTCACTTCATGAAATGTCTGCTGGTGAATTCGAATCTCATTTATGTCTTCGGATATAAGATTGCAGCTGGGACAATAAAAATAATTGGTTGAAGTGTTGGTCAGTGAAGAAACGTCAGCTCGTCTGTGACACCTATTTTCCTCCTCGAAAGCATTTGACTGAGTCCACCAGTTAGATACAACACCTCGATCTCTATCAAATGGAAGTAAAATCGCATGGGCGCAAATAGCTTTTGATCTGTGAATTTATGCAATTACACGAACTGGGCTTAATTCTAGTAACCAAACCATCATCTCATGAGCACATATTTTTGTCAAAATAGCGCCACATATAATTGAAAGCCACATTATTCTCTATCTTTTTGAACCTAACCTAAATTAATCGGATTTATTACATTCATATTATTAAAATAAGTTGACTAACCTGAAATAAGTTTGATTTTTGTGCACATTTTGAGGTAAAACTGCCACATCATTTCGAGGGATATGAGAAGCGTTATCATTTGATGTCGCGTGGCTCTGTTGTGACATTGCAGGCAAAGTCAATAGGTTACTCCCTTCTCCCTGATTCAGATCGTCTAAACAGTGACAATAATTCATTCATGAGATGAAGCCAAAAAATGCGTTAATATTGAAAATTTATTTTTGATGGAATATAATCGAAAAAACACGAAAACTCACTGGCCGACATCTCTTCCAGTTGCCTGCGCAAGTCTTCTAATCGCGAGGGGTACAGGTCGTAGTATTCTATAATTGTGATTAAGAAATGAGAATTCGGTTTTGATAAATGAATAAAGAATTGTAAATATGACTTGCCTCTTATAAAATTTAAAATGGATTCCCTGAATGGATAAATAGATGTCGTTGTATTGGAAGAAGAGGTTTCCAGCTTCGTCCTCGATCCGTCATTTAAATTATTTCCCTCTGTCATTTTTTCTTGCTAAAACTTCGTATAAGCCTGTTTTAAAGAAGTGCAAAATCAGATGCTCTAATTTCTGTGAAAAAATGAAGTTATTTGCAATTCCCATGATCGGCCTTCATCCCGATTAAAATTCATTTGATCGAAGTTCTAAGATGCATTTATCCATAATATTATTTGATATTTTTAATTACTTCCATTGGAACTTACGCTTTAACTGTTAACTTTAGTCTCTTTTTACATTACCATAACTTGGCCTTTTTTATAGCACTTGTCTTCCCTTACGCTTATTTGCCTACGTAAGGAAAATTGTACTCCCTCGGGTTTCTGAAAATGCAAATAATGAAATAAATTTTAAGTGAATATCTACTTACACTATCATTGTTTGCAATAAGTATAATTGAATCAGATCTAACATGTGGTTTTTCAACGATTTTTGAGCATATGAACCCCACAAATTGGAGCCCACTATTCCAAGTGGGACATTTATTAGCACCAATACGAAAATGAATGCAATCATAGTCATTTGATTATGAGAACGTTTTCTAATTTTGTCACTCTTTAATTTCTCTTCTCGATTAATTCGAACCATTAGGCTTGCATACACACTAGCGTTTATTACGGCTACTAGAAATTTGTTTTGGGTTCCATAGAGCAACGACCAACAAAACGTGTAGGCAATGTGCATAAATTTGGGAAATAATAAATTAAGATGAAACAATTAAGTGGTGTAGTTGAAATCGAAAAGAAAATTCAAATAAGGACTTTGAAATAAAGAGCATTTGAGAGAAGGAGAAAATGTGAATGCTCTTCTTTGCAAGGCAATGAAAATGCAAATATTCATACCACGTCAAATCCCTTTGCGTACGTTACATGAAATGTTTTATAGGGGAAATAAGTAAAATAAACTTGGAGGTATGGAAAATCATTTAATCTACGATTTGACAAACAGAAACATTACACCTTGCTCAATTCATCCTATTGGATCATGTGATTAACAGGTGATGGAAATTGTAATAGTGACTGCGCTATTTTCTTCATTAACACTATTATTAGTTTTATTTGCTTATTAACACAAACTGCAATTTAATATAATTCATATTTAAAAAATGTACATCATAATGTACGTGTTTTAAATTTTGGATAATGAAGATTTAAATGGGCAATTTATTTCCAACTTTGCCATATTCATTGGGAAATCCATTGAAAAATGTCAATGACAACTAAAGTAAATACCGTTAATTTTCAGTGAATAGTGAAAAATGATGTCACGAGGAAAGGATCAATTTGTTAAAAGTAAAAAAAACTTGCTTAGAAGTAAGAACCCAATCGAACAACCTGAAGGGAATAGTAAAATAATATGAAGGGAAACATGGCATTAAATAAAGGTAGAAAACTAAGCCCAATTGCTATAATTAAGCTTATTTGTTAAATGTTTTGAAATTGAAGTTTTTAAAATAAATTCGAAATCCGCTTGAAATTCTACTTGTGAGTAACCCAACTAAAATTATACCACTCTGTGCAAAATGCTACTGAATTATAATTCCCGCAAAAGTGAGCAATTTTGAATGGGACTTATTAATGATTGTTGTGGTAATTTGTTCATGAACTGGAAGATTAAAAATATTAAGATTTATAAAACGATTCATGTGAATTTTGATTTTGTTAAATAAGCTTACAAGTATATGCTGTCGTTTCCGGCTAATAATATGAAAAGTAAAGGATTTAGGCATTATAATTATGAGAGCACTTACATTTGAACAATGTCAATTGTCAAATAAATACTGAATGCTTGGTATTTAATCCAACATACTCTTTTCAGTTGCAATCTCTACAAAATTTCAATTTGTAAATTTTGTGTGATGCCCTTCAACACTAAGAAAATTATCAATTATGAGCTTTAAATAACTTTTTGGCAGCCCAACCGATTTGTATGCCTGCTCAGCAAAATACTTATATCCCCGTAACTAATTTGAATTTTGAAAAATCCTCTCGTAGACATATTTTTGAATAGTTAAACTATGAAATTATGCAAAAAATGAAAATTCGAAATTTTTTTCTAGACCTGAATACACCCTTGATGCCAATTGTAAGACATTTATCAGCAAAAATTAATTGCAATAAGCATATTACATTTTGAAATTGGAATTGTTTGAATTTTAAAAGTGTGTTCAGCTCATGATTATTCGCAACGACATGCTAAAATTAAAGTGTTCAGAAGCAGGTTTCCAAATTAATCCCCATGTTACCGAGGAAATAATAGCCAATTTTTTTATAATGCCAGTTATCCTGTGTAAGTATGATAAATAAAACGATTTATTATAACTTATTAAATTGAAGTTCTACGTTTTTGAATCCATCAACAGTACATCTCCTTTGTAAAAGCCGCATTTCTATTGAATGTTATTGCAAGAAATGTAAGATACAAATAGCCTTTTTCATGACTGACAGAATAATTTTTTTATTAATTTCTAATTATTAATAAATGGTCCTCAATTTGATTAGCTGCATGTAATTTACTTTAAGTACATCCTGATTTTTTCCTAAATTAAATAATGCTGATGTGGTAATGGGAATAAAATTTAGGCGAAGCATTTCACTCAATTAATACTGACGAATTTAAGCCGTTTTGCTTTTGATACGGATGCTATGCATATATTTTTCAAATTGATAACAAGAAAAGCCTAATCCTTATAAAATAATAACTCAACTTATTTATTTATGGGAAAATAACCATGATATTAGACGTTTCGCTTTCAATTTTTCACAGATTTCAATTATTCCAAATGAAATACTTATTTCTTGTAGTTTATTTATTTGCCATAAAATAACTATTGCAGAATTTAGCACTGCCACTTCCATTTATTGCTTAACAGCTTTCAATCAATTAGAAAGTCTCATTAAGGAATTAGTTTGCCATGCATTCTACTTTCTTGATTTAATAATAATGATATTTTACTAGTCGAAATAATGCATACTGATGCAATGAGAAAATGAAGCGGAAATATTTTATGGACACTCATTTTGAATCACGGAGAGAAATAAGACTGAAATAATTTTGAAAAATACAAGTTCTGCCAACTCTTAGCAAATGCGTGATGATCTAAATAGACCCTGCACATGCTGGGTAGAAAGAAAAACATTCTTGAAACAGTAATTCTACTAATTTCGGCCAGTAATATTTACAAATTAAGTGAAAACCTACTTTAATCTAACCATCAGACTCATAAAATCCGATATTCAATAAGTAACGACTAGTTTCTAACATATTGATTTCATTCCTTAACACAGTTACCAGAATATTAATGACAATCTCTTTTCTTAGATGCGTTCATCGTGGCACAACTTATCAACACGTAATCTTGTATAATTAGTTTCTTTGGAGGAAAAGAATT